GGGAAAGATATCATTTGACCGGTAGAAAGGCTGTGGAATTTCCAGATACTTTCATTCCGCGCGAGTAGCCAGAAAACGCGACGTGATCGCGAGCCGGCGCTCCTTCTGCCTGTAATTCAATTTCAAGTTTTCTGCCGCTTTTGTAACGCTACGAAACCTTAGGAATCTCGCTACTATCGCGGTTATCTCTCAGTACCCGATCCGTCGACACGGTGAGAAGCATCCGATATCGAAGAAGACCGTGGCCGGTTTATTAATACGATCGGTTCGACGGAGACTTTCCCATTTCCGATAGGGAGTTATATTTTATTTACCAATTTGTACAATCGATAACTCGCCGAGCCGAACGATTTTCTTTCACGAGAAATTTGAATCTCAAGCCCATTATTGGCTTGATCATCGAGTACTCCGTGACTCTCGAATCGAAGAACAGCGAACATACGTCGGAGAGGAATTCCTAATAGAGAACGATTATCCTTCATTCGCAGCAATATCATGCTCGAAGAGTTCCGATAGTTCGCTTAAGCACAGTCGAACCGATGCCCCAGGACGAACACGAGGGGAATTCTGATGATATTTAAGATCAGACACCGGAATTTTCGCGGTTCTGTACTTTTTGCAATATCTATTTTCGGGCCGCGTTTACTCACGTCTCAAGCTGGTCCCGCGATTCCAACGAGCTCTCGGCCGAAAGAAAAAGTTTGATAGCGACGACAAAGTAAAGGGAAGGTGATATCTTCATGATCAAAATGGAAACCTCCACCGTGGTGTTTATCCCGCAAAATACAAGTAAGCCACTCCTTTTTGCGGTTCCGTTAATTAGCAATTAAATAATTGGAACGGATAGTTAGGCATACGAATGAAAGGGATGGGTTTTGATTCTGTGAGAAATTAGAGTTAATTCGATATATCTTAGTAATCTTTACTTGTCTCTTGATAATTTAATTTTACCGTGGTAAAGCAAAGTGTCACCAATTAAGCTCAATGCCCCGAAAGTCTTACTTACTAGTCCTGGCGGGGTAATCATGTCTCTCTTTCGAAATTGACGGGCATAATTTGTGCATGTTGGACTTTCCTCGAATCAAAGGGATTAATTCGTGGAGCATTATCGATGTTCCGATTAAACTGCTCGGCCGAAGCCACGTTCAAGAAACGTATCTTTTAATTGGATCGTCACGCTGTGTTATAATTGACTGGAATGAGGACGGTGTCCGAGATAACTTAAAGTCGATTCAAAATATCTTGAGAATTGGAAACATTGCTAACTGAAATAAAACCAATTATGTACATGAATTACCGGGGCCGACATACTTGTTTTAATTTAACAAATATATTCTACACGGATACAATTTCTTTTGGTTGTTCATTGAACTTACATAAAGTGGAACTGGAACGAGGGCATTCCTCTGTAATGTTCCAACGCGTTAATACTCTGCTCAAGATAATTAGTGGATCGCCTAATAGAATGACCTGATTGCCCGATAAGGTATCCAATACTTTGGCTGTTTCAATTATACATCTTCGTTTCTATAACGCGGTCTTCGATTGACAGCGTGGAAAATGCAGATCAATAATCGAGTAAGATAAATAAAAATGAAAAAGGTAGCACGAACGTAACGGTATTATAGCCGAGACACGATATAAAGTCCTATTACGAAACTTCATTTATATAAGTTAGATATTCGATGCTCTCTATCATCCCTTTTATTCGATTAGCTTTCTTAAATGATCTGAGACAGCGATTCCCTAGTTATTAAAAGCAATGCTACGAAATTATGTTTTTACAATCATCGAAATACATGGTCTCTACGTTAGACTAACATAAATGATTTTTCCTCCGCAATGCCTCTTTCTTTTCCTCGGTGTCCCTTTATCGTATTCCTTCCTCTCTCTTTCTCCGTTCTTCTGTTTCCGGTTTCACGCGGATGCTGGATGACCGCACGCTACACGATAAACGCCGGCATGATGATGATGATCACTATAACCACGTCAACGTCACAATCACCACGGCTACTTCGGGCGTCACGACAGCGGTAAGTTTCTGATAAGGCTAGTCACATTCCAATTGTCGGACGACACGCGTGGAAGCGCGCCTCCTGTTTGCAATACTAAAATCACGAACGTGCGTTCCGTCCCCGGCTCTCCTTACATTTCGTTTACCTTCCAAGCGAACGGTTTTGTTCCCATTGTCTTTCGTCGTGACATTTTCTTCCATTCGTAATTCGCAGACGAAATGCGACGGTGCTTTCGTTCGATCGATCCAAAATACGTTTGATCCTCCGGTGGACGTTTTTTATTTCTGACAATGGTACCGCACTATTGTTCCTCGAATCTTAACACGTTCAAGTGACGCATATTTTCTGATATTCCTTAGTAAATAGACATTTAAATCGTTAGTAATTAATTTTTTTCCTGCGTTTTCCTTCTTTTTCTTTTTTTTTTTTTTTTTTTTTTTTTTTTTTGGGGTATTTTTCTTATATGACGATATCACTTTCTCTAGTACGATACATGTCTAATTTCTGTCAGAAAATAATATCTTCCTTAACTTTTTATCGTCGATGAATTGTACTAAACGTGTTAAACCGGATACCTCTTTCCGTGATTCTTCTGCCACATCCAATGTAATACTTGGGGAAACGTTTGTAATATCAGTGTGTACGTTAATCAGTACTGCTGATTCATATCACGAGAATGATCGAAATCATCGATTGTGAGTAATGTGCGTGAGTACGGTTACGCATACTGTGAAACTGCGATAACGATTAGTAATTGACCTTGGTGTAAGTTTTTACGTGTGAAAAGACGATTAGTTGTTTAGTGTTCAATTGACACTGTGATAAAGAAGCGAAAAATTAATTGCTTAAACGATTAAACAGTTAAATTAATCGATGCACAGTGGAAACTTTAGTTTTCGAGACAATTTAATCGTTATTCGCTCGTTTATTCGTATATTTAAACTTCTTCGTTATCGATTCGTACAATTACGTGTTTGAGTGCCGAAAATGTTACGGACGTCAGAGGGTATGTGAATTCTGACCAACTCCGATTGGATTCTAACGATTGGTGTGCAATTAATAAAGAAAACGAAGACGATCATTCTGACGCGATAGAATCGTTAAAATGTCGTCAATATCTGCATCATTCAGACGTCGTCTGAACCCAGCGATTCTTGCCAAATACGATAACCAGCAAGCTACCCCTTCTCAACAGGTAGTTATTTCCGTTGTAATATTTTTTTTTTATAATCTGAAATATTTGTTAAAAATATTTTGTTCAATTACACGACATTCTGTTATGAAATATTATCCTTATCAACTTACGTTACGGAGAGATTTATATAAAAATTAGTTAAGCTCTACTAATACCTTTATCTATGTGAAAGTTCCTTAGACAGCATTATTTTTTGCTGGAGTAATATTATGCCAATTTTAGGTGGAAGTAGGATAAAATGATGGAACTAGGTTAAACATCATGGTGTAGCGTATTCGTTAATCTAGAAAAGATGTCTGTTAAAATTTGTAATTACTTGAAATATGTCTTTCATAAAACTTTGATTAAATATGTTGGCATTGCAATGATCTGTAGAGCATCGTACAACTGTTCATTTTTTTATGGTGTCAATGATCGCTTTAGCTTACCGAGCTGTCATGCTTGGTATTCCAACACGACAGTAGGAAGTACATAGCAGAATACTTGGAGTATCATTGTGGCCTTAATTGGACTTCGAGCTAATAAGAGCATCGAACTATTAAGCTGTGTTGTATTTCCGAATGCCACCTGCATTGATACACGTATTATTTCTAACCTCTACCGTTTGCATACCTGACGTCTTCCTTGGACCAATTATAGTAATAGAATAAAGTCAAGCATTGTGGTCCTCAATTTGTATAAAAATAATAATTTTCTATAATTCCATCTTTGGGGTTAAAATCAAATGAGAAAAGTTATTTTAGGTGTTAATTAAACAAATTTTAAAATTTTAGAAAAGATTGTAAAACATGTAGTATACGTGGTTTTGAATTAACGAATGAGCGGAAAAAGTTGATCGGACACGTAGCGCCACCATATCTGAGTAGCGACATTTCGTAGTTACATTTTACGATACATCTGCGAAAACAGCCGGTAAATAAGAGCAATTCTTTTCCGCAATTGTTTTAAATAGTTAAGAGAAATATATTTAATAATTTGTTTTACGGGGGGGGGGGGGGGGGGAATTAATATTAATATATTTATCTGTCTATGTGCATGATGCATATAGATTTTCGATAATTCAAAATTTTGTATGCAGTTCTGAGTAAAAATTTTCAAGCATTATATGAAATGAAAATGCAGTAACTGGTTTCAAATAAAATAAGTAAAACTGATGTATTCGGTATATCTTTATTTGAGATATTGGAAAGATGGTTTCGAACATGATTCGTTGGCTTCATAGGAATACTGACCAAACCGTATAGCGAGAACAATATGTTCGCTCATCCGCCAGGCTGGTCGTACAACGAGTTGCCATTGGTCGTCGTTACTCCATGGAACACATGCGCAGTGAAGAGAGGCAGTTTCGTTGGTTATCTGGCGAGCACAAGCGGCAATGTAGTGAATTTACCCCCACTTCTGGTGGTAGCTGCGTCAGGCGTGGTCGTTCGTTAGGGACCGCAGTATATCCGAGTCGGGCGAGTCGTATGAGTCGGTTGTGCTGTTGCTTGTCACCTTTGTTGGCAAGACTGTGCATATACGCGCGCGCAAGTGTTAGTGTGCGTGCTTGGCAGAGAGGTCATTTAACTTTTTCTCCCCCGCTGTTGTTTTTCTTTTACTTGGCAATCGGTGGAACGAAGAATAACATCGTTTAAATTTTTTTTCGTGGAAAAAAAAAGAACTAGTCGATAATGAAACAATGCATAGAAAAGTGAGAGTGAACGTGGCCACGTTCGGCCGGTTTGCCGACAGCGTGAATCACCAGCAGCAACACCGGCGTTCATGAGCCCACGCAGTGCTAACCGATGCACGATTTCTCTCTTTCTCTTCCCTCTTTTACTCTTTTTCTTACTACCCTCTCTCACTCTTTACTTCGTACTACACACTACGTACACTCTGGCACGAAAGTGCTATTTTACGTGTACGCAAATTTTTCCTTCGAGTGTGACAGATATAGTATACAAAATCATAGTGAGTATTTGTTTTCTTCCGAACAATTAATTATTTAACAATGAATACATATATGTGCATGTGCCCTGTGTATGCGAATTGTATGTCCAATTATAACATTATCTGCGATGTCTATGACCGTGATATGGTTTCTGTTGTCCAGTGTAATGAAGGCGTTTCCAAGGGCACATCGTAGCTTTCGCAGCGGGCCAAGTTATCGCCATTCAAGGCATTCGAGTTCACACTCTAAATCCATTGTTTTCGTGCCTTTTCTGATGTTCGTGTGACCGAAAATTCATTAAAAAGAGTCCTTTTACAGTTTTCTCAATACGATTGAAGATGAATGAGAGTTTAATGACATATACGACACCTTTATAGTATAATTTTTTGTGATAAATAATCGTTCTTGAGTTTAGTATTTGTTAGAAATCGGTATAAATGGCGGCCTAAGTGTCTCAAAACGTTACGTTTTTTTTTCTTCCTATTTTTTTTTTCTTTTTTTGTTTATACACAATGCTCTAAATTAACGTTTTATTGTTCAAGTGAAGAGTAACAATTTCTTGGGCCACAAAACCAATATTGAGTCGAACCAGTAACTGCATGACATGTTTTCATTTATTCCGATAAAAGAATGCTTTTTATCATAGACACGCCCGTTCTTTTTCTCCCATTCACGTCTTTGTCTATTTTCACGGAATAATTGAAAAATTCACGATATATTACCCCATTCGAGACTATATATATATTCTATATATATTCCTGTATCCTAGACGCTTTAAATTCATCCCTATTAACTTACGATACATTCTATTCTTAGACAAAGAGAAAAAGAGAGAAAACATGACATAACCCTCCATTATCAGTTTGCCTGGCGATAGAAAGGACCAAACTAGACACATAAGAAGCTGTATCCCAGTATAGGGGAGAAAGAGAGAATCGTGTCGAACAGATCACGTGAGATCGTGGTGGAAATGTCGACCGAAAATCAAAACGGTTCCGCCGGTGCACAAAGCAACGGCATAAAAACCACGATCGGCTGGTCGTCGTCCACGAGGACCGTTTCGAACAATTCGTCGTTTTTACACAGCAGCAGTTCACACGACCGAACGATTGAGCAGAGATCGCGAAGTCGGAGGTAGTTACAGGCTGGCGAGCCTCGACAGACTTGCCCTCAGGCAGAGGATACTGGACGGGGAAAAAGCAAACGGCGACACTACGTCGGTAAGCTGAGTATCCTTTCTTTTTTTATCGAGGATTCATTATATTCGTATTATCTGTGTTACCCTTCAAGCAAGGCAGGTAATTTATGCAACGAAAACTACTCAAGGTGGATTAAATGATTCTATTTTCAATTAAATTGTTACAATTAGGAGCCATTCGCATAACGAATAATTGGTATACAGGGTAAACGAGTACAGTTAACAATAAATGTAGAAAAGCTTCGAATATTGAATATGAAATAAGTTTGTTCTGCGGACCAAGATTAGTTTTTAAGCTAGATTTCATATCGATTAATCTAACCTGACACACGTTCAACGGGCCGGGTCATAGAACTTCTAACCTTAGATGTCTTTGAAGAGCTTCCCCGTAAATCTAAAATCAATAAATCTATAAAGGCGGTAAACGTGCAAGCTTTAATTACTAAAGGACTAACTACGGCGACCGAAAGTTATGTAAATTGTTAACCATGTTTATATTGCAAAGAGCAATATTTTGTATCGAAATCCTAGATCTTCAATTTCTCTCCAGAATATAGTAATTTTCGTTACTTTACTATTTTACAGTCAATTTTCATAGTATAGTATAATAAATTGCAACGAAGGGATGCAAGTGCTTTTTCCGGAAACCGTTAGAGATTTTGGTAGATAGATGAGAGGCTCTGTCACGTACCTTGTAACTCCGTAACTCAATTCCACCTCTCGAAGAATAAAATTTTATATCCCTGACACACTGAAGGTCGCTCGTCTCGACACTCGAGGACCCCGTATAAAGCACCACGTGATCGTTCCGTTTATTCTGTTCTGGTGACTCCGTGAGAAAGCTGTCTATGACTCACGAAATTCAGGTTAGGTTCGGGTTAGGTTAGAAACAATTATCGTTTCGATCAGGATGATGCGATTAATCATATTCTTTTTATGTCCACGACATTACGCAATTTTTATAAAAAAAATTATCAGTGTCGCCAGTTTCCTAACCAAATTTTATTAATCCAATGGCGTGATAATAAAATATCCCTAGACCGGGTTTTTCGATTCTCCTTAAAAGTACCTATGCTTGCATGAGTGAACTAATTGCATCTCGCGGGTGAGTCAGAGATTGATGAGAATCTCTGTCGCAAACACGTGGCAAGTTTACCCTAGGTGGCCTCTCTATCGCTCTTACATGCGCTAAAGAGAGACTCAAAGCACGGAGAGAGCGGGAGAGAAAGAGAGAAAGAGAGAATTTGCCAGCGGGATGCAGGGCAAGAGTGATGGAGAGAAACGCGTCGGGGGAGGAACATATGGCAGCGTTCTTATCTCCATTTTCATGGGCTTTCGCGCTCGCGAGAGACTTGGCTTTTAATTTTCCCGCGTCAAGTATGTGCTTCCGATTCTTCAAGCCACGTACCACTCGGCGGCTTATTTTTATCTTTCTTTAATGGCTAAATTTCGTACTACTTGTTGGAAACTTGAACGGGAGAAACACGTTCCGTCAAACAAATAAGCTTCAGAGGAGTGTAATTTAAGTACCAAGACCAGAATACTTTGGCCTTGGAAACTCGAGTCGTTGCAACTCCTCGATACACCGTTTCACATACTGTTTTAGCTATTGCCATACAGGATAATTCATCCTAGAGCTTAAACGTTTTTAAATACTCCTATTTCTTGATTAATAAACAAAATAAGCACATGGTTAGAGCATCATAGAGAGAAAAACACCATAGGAATTCTCTGCTTTTCAATTCTTTATCTACACACATGACAATAATATTACTAAACATTTATGTTCATGTATGTACGAAACAAAAAAGATAGGAAATAAACAACAAAAAGATGAAAAATTTTTTAAATGCCCAGGGCCTCTAAAAGTATTAATCCAATCCTGCCTGTAGAAAACTGAAAATTTCGATACAATTCTAAAATCAGTTTTGCGATATTAGTAATTATATTTCCAATTTTCAGTTTTAATAATGCGATGTTTGCCAAGAAAGAATGTTAGAAGGAGAAAATTCATTTCGTAATTTTTCCAACGATCTTTGAAGCAATGCCAGGGGCGGACGCGTCATCGTAAAAATTTGAGAATCACTGTGATCGCGCACATGGTCACCCTTCGCGTGTATATTCGATGGAAGGGGCCAGGCCCGTGTTATGGGGCGATTTTAGCCGAGGGTTCAACCCTCGATGGTGCGTCATAGACAATAGAAAAATATACTGTAATTCGTGACTCACGGAACGGGAAAGAGATACACTCCAGAGCAGAGTTTAAATCGAAAGCGCGTGCCGTTCATCGTTTGGGACCTGTGCGGCACGTTTAGCGCAAGTACTCTCAAGATAGCCAGGTGATTTTCATAGATTTCAAATTCCCGCTGAAAAGCGTCTACGAAATTATCCATGCCGACGATTATCGTCATTTATGAGTTTTACTGCCACGAAACACGCACCGATGATGAAACGAGAGGATAGAAGCTTCCAAGAAGGACGCAGAGAGTCTGGCCGTGTTCGATAAAATGGAAATTTATGACTTCCGTGATCGTGGTCGACCTTAAATGAGATCATTGTTCTGTCTTCGATAAATGCAGCTCGTTGAAAGAATTTTCAACTTTTTCCCCCTCATATATAGATGACATCGTGACTACCCTGTGGTTTGGAAAATACAAGGGTTT